TGATTTATCGATAATAGTGATCATAAATATACAAAAGATATGTTCAAGAACATATGGAAGAATAGGTGCATTTTAATACAATGCATAGGATCTGTACGTTACAAAATATGTGGTTGTTAGAATTTTTATCAGAAATCATTTTTCACGTATCTTTATTAAGCTTCTGTTTCTATATTAAGCGGATTTTTCTGGTTAAACTTTGACATTCTTCCAACCAATTAACAATCACCTCAACACACATGATTTCTCAATAAAAACGATCAAACGATCGTAAATATACAAAAAGTATGTACAAAGGCGTATAGAAAATTAAGTGTTTGTTAATGAAATGTGGAAGATCTCTACATTCCGAAATACGTATAATTGTTACAATTTTTATTAGAAATCATTTCCTCATATGTTTTTTTTCTATATTGATCAACAATTTAACTATTCAAAGATAAAAACTAATTCTATCCTCCGCCAATTTACGAAATCCAATTTTTGTTTTTACTCTATTGCTATAAAATGAAAATTCTTGAATGATGCGTAGAAGAAATTTTGCTTTACAAGAAAAGAATGAAAAACACGTTCGACTGGATGCGTTATGTTAGTCGATAATCAGTGTTACATGTATATGTTTCGTTATTTCCAAACTTGAAGATTTCATCAACGATTCTGGAAAGCTTGAGTAGAACATATGTAGAGAAAAAATACCCATATGAAATAATAAGACATATTAATAGAAACTAGAGAATTGTGTTTATGGCAAAGTAAAAGCGACAATTAGCTGCGAAGTCTGTGAGTAAAAAGAAAGTGCTATTTAAAATTTATAATAAGCGATAGTCGGGTATTTTAAGAAACTTATTAATTAACGTGGTTTCATTATAGAATCACAATATTGTATTCAAGCAATTAAGCATAATATTCAATAGGTGCGTGGAATAATGATTCGAAATTAATTAACGCCTAAATTTGTTATAAGATATACTTAATAAGCAACATGGATCATCTTATACTCGCAATTACCATACGTATACATATATGTTATATTTATTACATGCGTACATCATGTTGAGGCGTAAAATATATTAACTACTTTTACTATGCTATCATTACACCTAGACAAATTTATATTACAAAGCCTTATACACGTAACAATATAACATATATAACATGTATAATGTATAATGCTTATACAAATCAGCGTGCTTTACTCAAAATCTGTTGCTGGCGTTCCTACCGATGAGCTGCTCTTCTGTCGCATTGAAAATTCAAATTCAAATTCGAATTACTCTGCGTATTGTTACGACCACCGTCATTTTCCGACGCAACGTCGATCAAATTTTGCGCTTGCGGACAATGCACGTGACGTATCGGATGCATTGAATCTCCCCCGACACTGTCACGTAACGTTTTCATTCTTTCCCGCTGCGTCGATTCATTAACGCGATAAACGTGCACGACGTGAGACGCGGCTTCCACCGTGTGGACATAAATTTCATCGTAATTACGCATTGTACGATTAAAATCGCTTAACATCGCTTTCTCATCTCGCGCCGCAGAGATTTCGTCTATAAAACGTGCGCGCCAACCTCGCGATTACGAGTGGTTCGATAACGCAAGGGTTAGCAGCGTTCATGTTCGAAGCGAAGCAAAACTACCGGTTCGGTTGGACGAATACAATCGCACTGGTTAAGAGGCTATTGGCGTTATCTGGTTGTCGATAGAAGATTTCCATTAATTTGCTCTGCGGCTAAGCAGCATCTCGTATCCTTCGGCAACGGTGTTTGAATAATACGGTCGGTTATACGGCCAGAGAATTAGGTACTAAATTGTATTCTCTCAATGAATATTCCGTATTTACCGTGTTCTCAGATCTCCAGGTAACGATCTCGACTAGCTCGTTACGAAGTCACAGATCGATAAGGTTTTATACATACAATGTACAGTTTTATTTTCACGAGTGTGTATGAATATTTATTGGTTGTATTGTAGTATATTTAATTGTATCATATGTATGTATATATATATATATATTTGTTTAATGAATATATAGATTTCAGTATATTATATATAAAGTTTTACGTACGATGGTATTTAACATTTTCGCGAATAGTTGTAGAATTGGAGAAGTACGTAGAATTACACGTGAATTTGTTTAATGAATACATAGATTTCAGTATATTATATATAAAGTTTTACGTACGATGGTATTTAACATTTTCGCGAATAGTTGTAGAATTGGAGAAGTACGTAGAATTACACGTGAATTTCAAAGCTACATTATATAGGAAGATTGCGAGTGTGTATGAATATTTATTGATTTTGTTGTAGTATATTTAATTGTATCATATATGTGTATAGATATATATATTTGTTTAATGAACGTATACATTTTACTATATATTATATATAAAATTTTCGCACAATGGTATTTAGCACTTTTGTGAATAGTTGTAGAATTGGAGCGGTACGTGGAATCACACGTGAATTTCAAAGCTACATTATATAGGAAGATTTCGAACGTGTATGAATATTTATCGATTTTGTTGTAGTATATTTAATTGTATCATATGTATGTATATATATATTTGTTTAATGAATATATAGGTTTCAGTATATTATACAGGGTGGTTGGTACGAGCGGAAAGGGGGTGATTCTACGCGAAAAAAGAAGTCGAAAATATAGAATAAAAATTTATCGTTTGTGGCTTTGTTTTCGAGAAAGTCGTCTTTGAATTTTCGTTCGGTACGCGTGCAGTACGTTATAACGAATCTCACTGTAGATCGTTGTCTCGATGAAAAAATTAAAAAAAAAAAATAAAAAAAATTTTATTCTATATTTTCGACTTGTTTTTTCGCATAGAATCACCCCTTTTCCGCTTATACCACCAGTTACCAACCACCCTGTATATGAAGTTTTATGTACGATGGTATTTAACATTTTCGCGAATGGTTGTAGAATTGGAGAGTAAAAAATACACGTAAATTCACACGTGAATTTCAAAGCTACATTATACAGAAAGGTTTCGAAATTGGTTGATATTTTTCCTCATCGATTAGCATCCGTATATGTAGCTTTTTAGTCGAAACACATTCGACGGCTGTAGTCTTGTTGCGATTTCAAAATATTTCATATAACAATGAAATATTTCATATGTTCGTAAAAGGTTTCTGCAAATGCTGGAACAATCCTTTCTGAGATATTTCTTTTGGATAAATTGCTTTCGTAGACGGCTGTACGTGCAAAGCTTTGCATATTTTAATATGTTTTTTAATATGTGGAATAAGCCCGACGAATCGAGTGAAACGACGAGAGCTTATCGATCGCTTTGAAAAATATTTGCTCGTTATGTTGCACATAGCTGATAATCGAGAAGTCAATAGAACCCTAATTGATTAATTCGGTAAAAATTTATCGGACATAAACAAGTTATGATAATCATTATATATATACGTATAACGATAGCCATGATATATATATAACTCTATATATGATAAAAGTAGTAAATTCGTTACTTGAGCTCTGCGCCGTAGCATTTCATTCTGTACTGTTTCTACTTTTATCATCGATGTGAAATCATTCTAACTATTAAAAGAAACGAATAAAAATTCTAGAATATTTCTTGCATTCTATGAATTACGTCAATTTCGTCGCAATTGGGATCGAATAAGACCGATCACGTTGAGGAAATTTGTTTATCATCGAAATTAAAAAATGATGGAAAATTGTGAAACGTCATAGATTGATAATGTATAAACAACAGAAAATTTTGAACATGATATCATAAATAAACGCTACAACAAGTAACAATAAAATTAATAAATTTCAGTTAGGACAAAGAATAATAGGAGATTGAACTTGTCTCACTGAAAATCCAACAACTAGATGAATATTTTGTTTATCTCATTATCTTTTATAATTTACAAATTGAGCAGGTAATTCGTGAATGATTTTGAACAAATCGAAACATTCGAAATATTTTCCTGCATTTTATTGTCTTTTCGGTTAGCGTTTCCTAATCCTGATTTACGCGTATATATTCTTCCATCGCTCTCACGTTGTGAATCTTGGCCTGTGAATCGTGACTGTCTATCCTAGCTTGTTTTAATCCAGGAAAAGTAAAGCTGTCAGACAGACTGCACATGCCATTCGCGATACCACGAAAGATTAGCACTTTGCTGATCATTACGAGTTTATTTCGAGTATTTGTACATGCAGTAATTTAACCGTGCTTTTAAAGTAGGACTATCGTATATTGCGTTGGAGACTCTTCAAAAATATCCTGATTATCTCCAATTTTTTAAATAGAACGATTTTTGGCATGATTTTTAATTTCTAGTAAAATAACAAGTCACTTTGATGATTTGAATAAAAATGTAAAGCAACGAGTTTTCCATTACAAATAGACTGTGGAGTTTTATGCAAATTTGTATCTTTATCAACATAATTAAGAAAGTGCCAAAGAAAACACTGCATGTGCCTAATATCAAATTTTGGCAGAGCGAGAAGAAGCTTCTCTGACTTAAAATTATTTTCCAAGTTTGCTTTATTTCGAACGTTATGAGAGCCTAAGCGTACAGTAATCCAAATACGTCACAAAATTTTCTATTTTTTGCACTAATATAGTCAAAATTCTTCAAAAGAAGAATCGTATTTATAGAAAATTCTGTATTTGCCTCTTAATTGTAGAGAACTGAATATTCCATTCATCTAAATTTGCAAGCACTGTACCAAGATAACTCGTATAAAGGGGAAAAATATATTTTTCTAAGATGTTCCTTTTATTTTTATTACAAAAGTATATTTTATAACGTTCTAAGTAAGAATTGTTATAAAATTGGTAATATTTAACGTCGAACGTGTTTATCGCTTAATGGCATTTACATTGTTTTAAAGACAGACGATACTGAACTTTTAGTAATTCTTTGCAAACTGAAATAAAAATCAAAAAGGTGGCTTCAAGATTTTTGAATACAATTATTACCACGGTCAGCATTGAATGCTGATGTGAACTCGATCGAGAACTTGCGAGGAATTCTAACGAGAGAAGTTTAGAATCAGAAGCCACGTATAAAAAATATCGCTGAATCTAAAAACAAAATAAAATCCACGTTAGCGGATATTGAAAAGGATAGATAAGAGAAAATGTAATCTTTTCTTCTAAGCTTCTAAAGAAGAAATTTCCTATAGAAAATTTCCAAAGAAGAAAAGTTTGTTGCATCTTATTTTGATATTATGAAAAAGCTAAAGATGGTTTTGAGTCTATAATTATTCACGGTACTGTATCTATGTTCGAATTTCAATTATGAAAGTTTATTTCGATTATGAAAATAATAGCCAATTACTCGTTAATTTTTCTATAAAATAGTCGGTCAGTAAGATGATAGGAGGATTGGTCGCAGGTTCTGAGTATCTCTCGCTATGCATCTTGAGGTCTGTGACTGCACGTAGATCAACTAATGTGAGAAATTCCTCAGTAGACGGAGGCGTTTCAATCTTTTGAGTCTACAATTTCCACGTGGCGCAACCAGGTTGATGCAAAGAAGGCACCGTTGTTCACGCTCCTGTAAATCACGATGGTTGAATCGTTGTCTGCGAACTGTGTGAACAATGCGAGCGATTAGAATTTTATAAATTGGGAATTTTTAGAAATGAAACGTCTTGGGAAATTGGGACTGCGGAATGAGAGAACTGTGTAAAGTATTAAAAAGTATAAAAATTCATTCAGATTTTGGACTTCAAGCTTTCATGATGATAAGATGTTTTGATATTGTCAAATGCAAATGCAAAATCGAAACGCGATTATTTATCCTGAAAAGCCAATATCAAATTAATGCATTCAAGCATTTTGTGGTGTATAAGATGCGACATATTGTAGCAGTTATATAATTATAGCTTTTCAGGAAATTTAATTAATATGCGATGCTTATGATGTGCGTGAATCAATATAAATATTATTTTTTTAAATATTTCTTCGGAAAATAAATAAATTTTACAAACGAAAATACGATACTTCTGTTTTCTGGATATTTGTATTTCTTCATGTTTCGCGTCCTTTTTTATTTTTAGTTAAAATTTAATTAAAATCCTGCAACAAAATTGCGTTGCATGTAAAGAGCGCAGTTAGTAGATTCTATAATTGGAGTACATCGAATCAAATAATAATACGGATCAATGAATGTGTTGACCATTTCAAACTTGAAGCTGGAACACTTGCTTCTAATATGTATATCTAAATTTGTTGCTTATTTTGCGCGGTCATTATCGATCTGAACCGAATTAAAATGATCTCCTTCGTTATTTGAATTGTTTCTTATTTAGTGAACTAAATTTCACACGATGATTTTGCCTCGGTGTAGATATAAAACGTGGTCATGTGGATTGTATTTAATTATTTTTTAAAAAAAAGCTTTCCCCTTTGGACAATTATATAGACAATGATTTTCAGCTGTAAAAATATTCCTGTATATATTTTACATATATGGAAAGGCTCTATTCTTACATTAAAATATTTAGAGAGAAAATTTCTATATCTTTAGCGCTAATACTAGTGTTAATTTAGCGCTACGCTTTAATTAGTTTAAAATTAGAGAACTATATAGACAAGTATAACACTTTAATTTCTTTCCTTTAGATTTTTGGTAATTTGTAATATTAAAAGTTTTTAATTTTAATAATTGTAATATTCGAAGTTTATCAATAATAAGTTTGCCAATTTTTTATAACAAAATAAAGTCATTCTCGCTTTAATAAAATAAAAAGTTTTAAATTCCTATTCAACAGAAAAAATCACAAGAACAAAAATTTCAGATTTCCATTCTACAAAAATCCTAAATTAAATTTCAGTTTTCGATGAAAAAGCTACAGAACAAATTTTTGAATTTTCGTTTAATAAAAGAATCACAGAAAAATTTCAAATTTTCATCCGACGAGGAAAGAACTATGAATACAAAAATTACGAATATTCGTTCGGCAAAAGAGTTACAGAAAAAATGTAAAATTTTCGTTTAACGAAGAAAAAATCATAGATACAAAGATTACGAATTTTCGTGCAATAAAAAAATCACGGAGGAAACCTGAAATTTTTATTCAACGAAGAAAAGATTATAAATATAAAAATTTCAAATTTTCGTTGCATAAAAAAATCACAGATCAAGTTACAGGTACTGTTTATCGATGCTCGTGTCCTAATTTCCAAGTAGATACATAAGTAGATAGTAAGATACTGCGCGGCGCGTCGCGTCCACAGCGATAGGACCAAGAGGATTTGTAACACCAAGCGTTCAACTCTCGCAGGGAGCTTACTTACAGTGTAGTTTCTTGGCTCGATTAAATATTCTGAGGGGCAACCTTACGTTCTGTTAAATAGATCGCCGGGAGCGTGAGAGCGCGACCGGCTGGTGAGAATACAGAGGAAGATCTGTGGTATTGAAGTATCTGTGCATATTTCTGCATCGAGATGTAAAAACGCTTGAATGAATTCATCGAATGAATGATTCAACGAAGCATCGTGCCAGAAGATCGGTTCAAGCAGCGATAAGATTACGAGAGAAAATGTAGTGTGATGTGAAATGACAGATGAGAAAATGTAGTGTGAATTAGATTTTCTATTTTGTTGCTAATATACTACGTATATAGTATACAATGAGTCACGAAATTTTTATGAATATATTGTTATATTGCGTTATGGGAAATTTGTTAAAGTTTCGTTAATACTGCAACGAGACAGGATCGTCGTACTTATGTTGGTAAATGTTAGTTGATAAATGCTTAATTATTATAAAAGCAATCGTGCGAGATGTATATGCCAAATCAAAGCAAACATGTATATAGAAGTTACGAGACATTTATTGCAAATATAGTTAGTAAAAAATGAGTATATATTATGAACAGTGTTTTTAAAAATGTACATACACAACCAATGCTAAATTTTATTAAATGTGTCACTTACTGATATGATAATTGGCAGTTTGAATTTTTTAATGCTTTGGTGATTTTGCGAAAAGTAGAATATGCTTCCAATATTCAGAACAAGTTTCTATAAGTGCACAAATATTTTCATGAGTCACTGTATGTAAAATTATATTCTATATCTATACACATTTCAAGAGATAATCTTAATGATTTGATTGACTGAATGTTTTAGAATAAGTTGGTTGCAGTTATAACTTTGATTATCCTGTCTATTAACGATCGCGCACAAATACGAGTACCTAGCTCGATACACGAAAATATCCATAGCTGTTTTATTGTTCACACAGTCTGCTTCGACTTTACATTGCAAATGTAGAGCTTAAGTAATTCTGCGCGTTACCAACTTTCGAACTAATCCAAGTATAAATTTATTCGTATCTATATTTAGCGAGTCCATAGCGAACGAATCGGTCCTTCCTAATTAAGAAATATCCAAACTTGACCTACTATTGTGTGGCCATTAAAGATAGATCTATTTTAAACGTAGGCATTTAATTGTGAAGTAAATTACAGTGAATACATCACTGATAAAAGCTGCATTTTTTTCAACCTTTCTCTAAATTAAATTCTCAATCAATATTTTGTTGGACATTTTCCTCTTTCTAAAGTTCTCTTCAAAATTTGTATGAACTAATTTACGACAGTTTACAATTAATTTACTTAAATGCAGATAAATTACATAAATATACAATGACACAAATTAATAGTTCAAGTAAATGTTAGACTACTTGTATACGTTATATTTCATCGCGCTATATAATTTAAAATCGATTTAGAAAACATGCCAGCAGTGTACAATAAACTTAAACGTACTTTTATAAAAGCACAAAAGTGAAGAATAAAACTGTAATTTGCAATTTGATGAAAACTTACGTCGAGTCTATTACGTCGAGACATTTCTACAACTATTTATAAAACCAAATTCTATCTTTTTATGATTAAATATTTTTTTATTAATACTCCTCGTACTTTTTACAAAGGTATGTATATTCTTTATATGCTCCCTTTATATACATTCGCTAATAAATTCTACTTACATCCAATAATAGTAAAGAATGAGGGATGTGAATAGACTTTTCTTACAAATCCACCGCCTCTTCTCAATAACCGCATACTCTACATCACAATGCTGCTGCTATTCATTTGCAAGTTACAATACACTAATTTCTCCACGCAATGGAGAAATTCACGTCAGGTTCGTATCCAACAGCGGCGTATCGTCGGAGAATGCTAAAGAGAGTTCACAAACACGATTAAATCAACCAAAGACAGAATCAGCAATCTGCTGAAATCGGATCTGATGAAATGAAAAATAACGTTCATATCCGCGCAAGCAGATAGTCCATTTACAAGCTACTTTATAGCGTGTAGTGGCATACTTAAATTCTATACCTACAAGGAACGCGCGAGAAAGACAGGAAGAGAAAGAAAGAAAGAGTGGAGATGAAGGTAGATAATGTGGAATGGTTGCTAGTCGAAGAACACTGTGCTGTGTCGTGTTCACCGCGTTCTCGAACCCCTTTTTCTCGAAGCAGCCAGCAGCCCACAGTCGCACAGGTGAAGCTCATATCGACCTGCCGCCAGAAATACCGCGCAGCATCGACCGTCGTCGTTATACCTGGTGTGCTTCCTCTTCCCCCGGGGCCGTGCCACCCCCGAAGCATGAAGCGGCTTGGGGGACGAGAAGAGGTCAGCGGGGGATGCGGATAGTTGGCACGATGGTGGTTGGGGGCTGACGTACGGTATCAAAGCCGCGGCCAATCCCTGGATCCTGGAAACCGCGGCTGCGCCCTGTCACAGTTTCCTCCCCGGCTGTGGGGATGACAGGGACGGGAAGAGGGTAACGTACAACACGGTGGCGGGGAGAACTTCGAGGGCAGACGTTTCAAAGCTACCCCAACGGAGAGACACGCCGAGACGCCCCTGCCATCGGGAGCCCTTCGGTCTCAGTAAGTATTCTCAATGACTTTCCCTTTATTCTGCATGTAACCGTGCCGCTCGCGTTTGTTTTCCCCCGTTTCCGCTTTCCGAATCTCCTCGAGTGGTCCTGTCATTTTCGGTGGCTCGTGTTGACATCACCGGGCGAGGGCTTAGTCTCCGTAGAGGTGCGAAACTCGGGTATCAATCGGTGAACCTTCATCAAGCGCTCGTACCTGGCTTCCATTCTATAGATACCGGTCAGTTCTAGACAGCTAGGGTTCTAGGGAGATCAGTAACTTTTCTATTCTTTCGGTGTTGTTTTCCTACTTCAGCAAGTGACGACGCCGATTACCTTGGAAATATTCGTGAAGAGATAAACGGTGCTTGGTTCGTCTGTCAAGACGTGGTGAATATGAAATGAATTGCTAGGACGATAGATTTTCGCAGGCCGAGATACCGCCGCATCGATTGAATACGAAGGAATCGAGAGTTATATAACGTGTCATGATGTATATCGATCATAAATATGACAATACATCACTGCAGGGAACGACCTTCTTTTATTACGATACTTATTTCTTCTATTTTGAAAAGAAGACGTCCTAATGATGACATTCGTTAAATAAAACTCTGGCGACTAAACAGAAATAATTAGGAATTATTTGAAAATTGTCCAAAAAATGGGAAATTGTTTTGCTTAAAAGGCGTCAGTGTAAATAGAATTAGAATACTGAATGGTACGTGAAAATAACGATACTACAACGTGGTAAATGTAATATTCTGTCTTTCTCCGATGTGAGGCATAGGAGACTGTTATAGATAGATGTTTCAATTCCAAATTTAGATCGGTCAGGGTTTAACGCGTGTATAAGATAATAGACAGGTTAGGAAAAATTGTGTCGGTTTCGAAGAACGAATGGACAAAAAGAGCTTATTGTCAGCACGCTATAGGCAGAAGGGAACGTGCTAAAGACCGACAACTTTTTGATTACTTCCGTGGAAATTAAGTTATTATTAAACAAAGTTATGCTACACTAATATTTAGATATTGAAAGACAATTGAAAAGAATATTACAACTTCGTATTAAAAATTTATTATGGGATACTTGAGAACTTAGAAACATTAAATAAATACTTTAGATTTTAGGAAATACTTTGAAGATTATGGATTATGGATTGTTACGCTAGCTCTTTCTTGTCTGTGAAACCACTAGCATAATAAAATATCAACCCTGTGTTAAGTTATTATACACTAACGTTTAGGTATTGAAAGACACTTAAAGGATAGTAACTTTTTACCAAAATTCGTTATAAAATATTTGAGAATTTAGATACATTGGATAAATACTTCCAATTTGAGGAAATTATTCAAAGATTATGAATTATATATATGGATTATTAGGCTAGCTCTATCTTGTCTGCAAAATAATAGAATATTAATTGTGCGCTAAGTTACTTCAACATTTGGATATCAGAAGAAACTTAAAAAAGGACATTACAGTAGAATTTTATATAGACTTTTCGTGAAGGGGAGAGGATAGTTCATATGTATTTAAGTTCATATAATAGGAATTTACGTTTGGGTAAGCGAATTTAACTGGAAACGGTTCATTTAATCGGGTAGTAACCAAAATTCGGTTGAAATAAATAGAGCTTATATAAATTGTAATTTGTTCGTAATTATTATTCTACTACAATATTTTTTGTTAAAAGATCATTCAAAGATTTAGAAATTGGAAAATGTTAAATACTTAAAATGTTAAGGAATATTTTTAAAGAACATACCATTACGAAATACTACGCTTGTTGTTTCTTATCAACAGATTTTTTGTTAAATTACTTCAATATTTACATGCTACTAAAAGACAACTAATAAAACTTAACTTTTTATTAAGGAATCATGAAAAGATATTTGAAAATATGAAAATATTAAATACTTTCACTTTTAAGAAATCTTAAGCAAACAACTTGAAGGCCATGGAATATGCATTACTAGGCTAACTGTATCTTGTCAAATTACTTCAATATTCACATATTATTAAAAGACAATTAATAAAACTTAACTTCTTATTAAGGAATCATGGAAAGAATTTGGAAATATTAAATACTTTTACTTTTGAGAAATCTTAAGCAAAGAACTCGAGGACTATAGGATATAAACTAGTGAATCCGCTGTTTCTTGTCTATCACTATCATAACAGAATATTAGTAGCGTACTAACTTACTTCGATATATAGAAAATTATTTTCTAAAATGTATAAATACTTTTTATTAAACAAGATGTTAAAATATTTGATAGTATGAAACATTAAAAATTTTAAATTAATATTTTTGAAGATGGAATATTACGTCTGCTGTTTCAGGTTCGGTTGCAAATTCGGCTGAAAAGGTGGAGGGCCCGGGGACGCAAGAAGCTAAGGAGTCGGTGAACGGCTCGAGGGCCGAGACCGGACCGGACGTCGCCTCAAAATTGAGCAGTTTGTTCGCCGGACTTCCTAGTCTGGCGAGTCCTCAACGCCTCGCCAGTTCCCTCAGGCAGAAATTCGCCAATAACTCTGGTAAGTTTACAAATTTTCTCAGTGCACGGCGTTCCCCTCGCCGTCAAGCTGTACGCGACTATGGAGGCTCGTTACGATCGTTGACGAAGTTACGGTTCCCTGCTCGCCAACCAGTCATCGTAATTAATAAACGAGGGTGCGGACACGCATCGAACGACGTTGAGAGGGACGTCGGTTTACGAATGATCGTTTGACGGAAATAATTAATCCGTTCTGGTCTGGCAGAGACGCGGTGTTTAGCGTCTCAAACGAGACACGACGACGCTTGACGATAATTCGGATTAAACACGCGTTTAATATCTGTAACGAGATTACGTTTGTCTTTGGATAACTGTGAAATAATCGGAAAGCTCTGACGTGTGCATTGTAATAATTTATTCTTTCTCGGTATTTCCATAAGAATCCTATCTTTAATTCAAGCTATTCCAACGAAACGGAACCTTCTGTTCTTGGCACTGAATGTTTTATCGATACGCAGAAGAGGCAGATATCGAAGGGGTATTAAATCGAGCTTTGTTTTCGCATCAGAACGTACACAACACGCGTTCAGCTGCTGTCTTTCCTTGCCTAGCAAGGTTCATTAAATAATTACCACGCAGCCCATTTATAGAGTAAAGCCATACCATCCACAACTCGACCTTCACCCTCGTTTCGCTGGCGAGACCCCGTGTTTTTATCTCTCGTAACACGATACGCAATACCAGACATAGGTAGCTAGGTTCAGATCGTGCTGCCTTATCGAGGGGGAGCCTCCACCCGGTATCATGTTCACTTCTATACCCACCAGAAGCAACCGAGGAATCAACTAGACGACGCGTGGTTGGTAAACGGAGTGAAAACCTTCATCAAACGAAGACAAGCTCGTCCATGCTGTCGACGATCGTAAAAGGTCGGGTTGGGGTGGGATGAATCGGTAAGCGGCGATCAGGCCGGGTCAGGGCTCCCCTTTCTTTCGAATTTATCAAAAAGAAATTATCCATTGGCCCACGGTGCAAAGAAAATCCCGTAACAAATGTTCCGCCTGGTGAATTATATAACCCAGGGAAAATGGGAGATTGCTATTAAAATATCAAACGAAAGATAAAAAGAACGGGAAGAGAAAATAAAAACACATTGATCGTAGGAAGATTTCGGGAGCTAACCGTGCCAACTCGGTGATCTGTTGTAGGTTACCCCCGGCCCGGCCTGATGCGCGCCGCCCAAATCGCGACGATTTCTTCGTCACGATCACTCCCAAGGTCGCATCAAGTGATCGCGATTAGTTGCTCTCGCTAGACCCTGGAAGCCGTTGCTGATCTATTAAAGGCGGATATCTAAAGCAACCACCATGACGACGATACCGATACTCAACATTGAGTTCAGCGAGCTCAAGGAGATCGTGTGGACCAAGTTGCAGGAACCGAAAGCTCAACGGAAGCTAGTTCTGATTATCGTGTCGATAGCTCTGTTACTCGATAACATGCTGTATATGGTGATAGTGCCGATCATACCTGATTATCTCAAGTACATCGGTGCGTTTGGGGACGTGGAGGAAGAGGTGAACGCAACGGGGCCGCCTTCGCATCATGGTCAAGATTCAGCCACAGGAGTGTTATTTGCATCGAAAGCTATCGTTCAACTAATGGTGAATCCATTTTCTGGCGCTCTCATAGACAGAATCGGTTACGATATACCCATGATGATAGGACTTTGTATAATGTTCCTGTCTACGGCTGTTTTCGCTTGCGGCCGAAGCTACGGTGTCCTGTTCTTCGCCAGAAGTCTGCAGGGAGTGGGTTCGGCGTTTGCGGATACCAGTGGCTTGGCTATGATAGCAGATCGTTACACGGAAGAGTCAGAACGCTCGAAAGCCCTTGGTATCGCGTTAGCCTTCATTAGTTTCGGGTGTCTGGTAGCTCCACCCTTTGGCGGTGCTCTTTATCAGTTCGCGGGCAAAGAGGTGCCCTTTCTGATACTCGCTTTCATCAGTTTAGCAGACGGAATAATGCTTTTATTGGTAATGAAGCCGCTAAAAGAACAAGTGAAAGACAGCCAGAAGGAACATAAACAAATGATACCGATCTGGCGGCTGCTCATAGATCCTTACATCGCAGTATGCGCGGGCGCTCTGATGATGTCCAACGTCGCGTTGGCCTTTCTGGAACCCACTATTTCGTTATGGATGGAGGATAACATAACTCGCGACAACTGGAAAATGGGAATGATTTGGTTACCCGCGTTCTTCCCTCACGTGTTCGGCGTCGTGATAACGGTCAAGATGGCCAAACAGTATCCTCAACATCAATGGCTGATGGCTGCCTCTGGCCTCGCGTTGGAAGGCCTATGTTGCTTCATAATACCATTCTGCAGATCTTACTGGGTTCTTATGATTCCACTCTGCGGAATTTGTTTCGGTATAGCTCTCATCGACACTGCATTGTTGCCAACTCTGGGTTACTTGGTGGACGTGAGATACGTCTCCGTATATGGTAGCATCTACGCTATAGCTGACATCTCGTATAGCGTGGCGTATGCGGTGGGACCTATCATAGCCGGTGGTGTCGTAGAGGCGATCGGTTTCACAGCTTTAAATATCGGCATAGCCCTTTCCAATCTAATGTACGCACCTGTACTCATGTATCTGAGGCACATCTACGACTTCAAACCGTTCCAGGACGAGGCGGACGTTCTCATGCAAAATCCACCCGACAAGGAGTACCAGACGTACGTGTTGCAAGAGCAGAGGCCGCTCTCCGGCGAAGTAGGCAATCATCTGAATCAAACGCGTATGGAGACGAACGTGGATCAAGGCTACGATCAAAATTACCAAGCTGGACAGACTTACGATCAGAGTGGATACGGGCAGAATATTAATGCCTCCGGATACACTCAAGCTCCAACAGGTTACGAACAGCCACCTATGTATGAGCAACCGGCTAATTACGGCCAACAGCCTATGGGTTACGCCCAACAGAGACCTTACGGACAAGAGCCGCAGGCAGCAGGTCAAGTAGATGTGAATCCATTCAGGAGACCTCCTAACGTCGATCAGAAGCCTTCCGGCGATAGCAATCCATTCAGACAAGGAATGTATTAATATGATCGACGAGGCTGCGTAGTTTATCGGGTATTCGTGATCGTTCACCATCGAATCTACAGGCTACTTTCGCGTCACGTCACGAATATCGCGAAATAGTCTTCGAGATAGGCTTCCAATTGTCAAGAATGTTAGCTGTCGCACGCGTATTGACGATCCTCTGCGAATTATAGCGATCGCAACGTTCGTTCTCTTTCGGTGATTTCACCAAGTGCATCGACGTCTCGTCATCTTGTGGTTACGAATTATCGAAGGGGGCCGTGTCGACTTCCAGAACGATGATTACTTCGAGATGTTTCGGAGCTATATCTCTAGAAAGTACACCGCGGAGTTCTATGCTCGCGTAATATTCGACGATGGTCTTGGGATCATTCGCAGTGGTAGTGTCGGGAAATTTAAATCGGTCTTACGGATCAGTATTTTTTATTCGAGAGGCGATCGTTTCTTCGACGGAACTAGATGCGAAGGGAACGATGATGAAATTACGAAAAAAGTAGTGTTTATAAATCATGAAGGAACGTGATTGGTACTTGACATATCAGTTGCCATTAACTCGATGACTGTGTCCCAGGTTTTACTATTTTACAATTCGTTTTACCATCTTTTCTCTGTCTTTTGATTTATATTTTTTTTTTTTTTGAATCTTTATTCTATATAAAGTTTCAGTAGTTCAGTTAATTCAGTAGTTAAGTTCAGTAAATTCATTTAGCTGCTTATTAAATGAATATTAGGAAGTTAATAAAAACATTTGTAACAAGAATTAATTTGAAACTTAACGTAGTGTAATTTTCTACACGTGTAGTAATTAATAATATCAGTATGAAATTTAAATAATTTTAAATTTACTTATAATTAACACGAAACATTTGAAACTTGCCGCGTATTTTAAACATAATCTAATAGATATTTTTGAAATTATGAGTTATGTTAATAATACATCGTAAACAACAGTCATCGTGTTGACAGCGAAAAATATAAATCGAATACCATAAAATCAGGTTTCCTAAACATATCCAATTCTATATGACAAGTAAAAGCAGCTAGAATGTAGTGAAACAAAGTCGTCACTTTCAATTGCAACGTGCAAAAGTCGAAATGTTTAGAATGACAAATTCTTACCGAAAGTGGTCAGCGAAAAATTAAGAGAGAACAAAGAAGAGAGGTATGATCCAAGAAGATGGAGAATCACATTCGTCCACATCTCGTGGGCCGAGTTGAAAAGAACATAATCGCAACGGAGGCTTCCCCTCAACAAGGACCTTTGCTCGCGAATTGCCACGAACATCGGCAAATCCTCAGTTTTTATTCGTTTCGTTTGCATTTCATTGTTGAACCGAAGTATCATATCACTAATTAAGGCGTCAAATTAGTAATTATCGAAGCTTTCATGTAGGTAATTGTATAGATAATGTGTACGGTAAGGAAGAAGTAAGTTTTCTTTAAACGTGATGTATAATGATATTGGCAAAGTACGTTGCGACTGTTACAACGCGTAATAACATATCATTCTTCTTCGATTTTATTTATTATCATTAAGAATTAAGTATTTCATTAGTGTTGTTTTAATTTTCATTAATTAAAATTCACAAATTAAAACGTCGAACGCAGAACAAACAAATACTAAGGAACATTGAGTTGGACGATATTAGTTGGATCGCGTCGAAGCATCGGAATGTTAAATTCGCTGATTAATCATTAATGGTAAA